GCTGTTGCACACAGACCAGCTCCCGGTTTCCAAGGAATCCAGCCCCAAAGCGCCCGTGCTGCCCTGGCTTTTTATGTCCCAAATGTAGAACTCCTGCTTCAAACTCAGAACTTCAATCCACCAACACTCCTGGGTCATTTGTATGCTTAAGACAGGTCAGATTTTTGTGGGGGGCAGGGCTCATTTTCCCAACACACTTCGAATGTCTCAGGTTAAAGAGAAGCAGCCTACACGTAAGCAGACTCTGAGCACGAAGTCTTGCTGTAGCATGCGCACAGTGGGATTCAGTTACTGGGGGACTGGCTTGTAGAATTCCAAACTGCTGCCACTGCCCAGTGTGGGCAGCTCCTGATCAGGTGGCTTGTGCTTACCAAGTTAGTAAAGGGGTTCGGTGAGTGCCTAGGATGGGGAGTGTAAATGTTAAGGAAGAATGTAATGTGTAAAAGATGATGTTTTTCCCTTAATGTGTAAACATGTTCTTCAGGCCACTGTCTGCAGCCAGTCACATATCAACAAGCAAGGAGATTGTGTTCTTTTGTAGATAATAATGGCTGGAATTGGGAATAAAGACCAGAGACAAAGGTTGGGCAGGGTGTTCGCCAGCCGGAGTGTCCATGTGTGTCGGGAGGTTGAGCGCCGACACCTGGTCTCATGCCGACTCTGCGCGTTCACCAACCATCAGTCCTATGAAACAAGGGCCAGCGTCCAGTCATTCCCCTACCCATGGAGCCAACTCTGAAATCAATAGTTAGCCCACAGCTAAAAGAATGGCCCCGTTCCATCACACCCTGATTTTGCGGGTTAATAGTCTAAGGTTGGATCAAACACAGAAGATTCTTTCTAGGCTGGCAACTCCATCAACCTAGTTTTAGGTACACTTTATTTGTCATCTTAACCAACATTTGTACTTAGCCGAGGCTTACCAAAGGGCAGCCACTGCATGTCAGTGGACGTGTGAAACTCCTTTTTAGGACTTGGTGACTCCTCTGTCTTCTCTATTAGGCTCAAACGCCAGTGCTGCCGACCATACTGGCTGGATCCAAGGCAAGGCTTGAAGCCTCCTTGGGTTCAAAAGATGTTGCACATTTCATGAAGCATCCATTCACATTTAAATGAGCGTGGGATGATCTAATGGATTTGTTCTAAGGTTTAGCTCTAATTCTCATTCAGAATTGGTGTGCTTGTCACAAAATTAATATCACCACTTAGAAGAGTTTATAGGTAGTTCCTTGGCCCTTGGATTTGATTCTCGCTTTGGGGGCAAGAAGACTTTATACACATGACCAATGACCACAGAAGCTGACCGATAGGTGAAAAATGACAGATCAAAGCAGTGACCTGAGTTATTTCCAAGCTTCTGAATCAGTCACGGGGTTACCCACTTCACCCAGGATGATGTCCAACCTGGCTGCTCACGCTAGCTCCACGCTGGTTAACTCAGTCCTGGCTGCCTCTGGCTGCTGGTGTTTCTCTGATCTTGTCTTTGCGTGAAAACTTGGCCTTATTCACCAAACTCCTTCAACTTCAAGGAATTTGGAGGTCACACTTAGTCCTCATTTCTTACTACTCAGCCTTTGCCAGGGATTTTTCTTCCTCATTAACTATGACAACTAGCTGAGAGAGAAGTGACCAAAGTTTTAATCCTATGCCCACAGCTTAGGGACTATCCTGGAGTTAGAGTCCCCTGCAGGTTCTCTGGGCAGACTGGAAGAAAGGAGCTCGTCTCACTCGATCTGTTCCCCCGTTCATGTGACATAAGTTGATGTTTATTATGACTTTTCTGATCCTTGTCTATAAGACAATACAAGAGGAAACCGTGTGTGTGTGTGTGTGTGTGTGTGTGTTTGTGTGGGTGTGTGCATGCATGTGTGAGGTAGAAAGGATACACTGCACAGATATAGTTCACCACATTCTGGGGTACGTTGTCAGTGTTCAAATTGGGAACCTGATGAGTAGGAACAGATGCTTTTCCTCCTTAATGGCCCTTTCTCTTATTTAGAATCCACCCATTTATTTCCCTGAGATTTAGTGATAACTTTAAACACTTTAACTAAATTACCCAGAGGCTTGGCAGCCATCACGGAGGCAAATCTTTTTAGAAATTCTAGCAATTTGTTAGATCATGGGTACTATGATATAAAATCTGCATGCTCCACACACAAAAATTAAATCAGTGCAATGGATACAAACACATATTGCAAATGGCATCATTTCTAAACCAAGGGTATGTAACCTGTCTCCAAATATTGAATTTCTGTGGGTTTTTTTTTTTCAGTTGTTGACTTTCTAAATTTGGACCCATTTAATCTCGTTATTCCTAAGTAAACCTACTTTGATATTTTTAACAGTTATTTTATATCAAATAGGACCAGCCAGCCCCAATTCATAGATCCTGATGTTGCTAGGATACATAGTGTGGTATCTGATGAAAGCGTAACACTTCAACAGGGAAAACTTTCAAGTGTCCTAGAAAAAGACATTCATGTCTCTTACTGCAGGAAACAAACCCAATCCTTGGGCTTTCTCAGAAGCTCACGGACTGCAGGACTGGCCTCAGCAGGCTTTGAAATCAGCGTCTTCCCAGGGGCCTGTTGAGCTGCCACCAATAGTCAGCTTAGTCTAAAAGCAAGGAGCACACATATCTATAATAAAACACGTTTTCATGTTTGTTTTACCGTGAAGAGAAAAAAACCCAAGAACCCCCAGACTTTATGTACTTTGAAAATATATTTAAAAACATTAAAAATTCTATATTTAAAACATATATTATATGTTGATTGGTACACTTAAATAGAACTTGTATTTACAATAGGCTTCTGATGCGGTTAATTTTTAATGCCAATTTTTTCAATAACATAATTATATAAATATACTAAAATACAATAAATATTTTTTCTTGTTTTACATGGTGAATAATATCTTTACCATAGAGAGAACAAGGCCACAGACATTTACTTACATTTTCAATGGGAATCACCATAAAAAAAGCAACGGGCCTGTTGCCATGCATAAAAACACCACCACAAAGAGACCACAGTGAAAACAGAACAGAACAGAACGAGAACAAACAGTGACAGAGAGAGGTTTTCACAAAATAAATCGCAGGTCGACATAAATCACCAAGCATGTGACAGATGCGTCTTATTAGTAAGAAAGCCACGGACCACATCACTGCTGGACGTCTACCACAAAACACGTCACAGATCTGGTCCTTAGAATGCTTTTAAGACTGCGATGGTGACTTTGTTTGGTTTGTAAATGTTGCTCCTCAAAGGGAAGCTGCAGAGAGTGAACAGAGAGCAGATAGTCCAAGCATTTCTACAGTAGCTTAAAAATAATTACCAATATTGTCAAACGGCACAAAACAAACCTATTCTACATAAAGGCTTCCCAAGACAGGTATTCAGGTGGAACTGTAAAGGAGAGGCTAGTTCTACATGAAAGACGGAACACACAGAAGTCATTGCTAATGGACTCTTTCCCCCTGGGTCCCGTGGGGACACCGGCTTTCCCTTGTCCCTAACCCTCCTAAGTCTTTTGGATTTAGAAGTGGGACAGATGGATGAAGTGGCTCAGCGCTGGGTCTCACTGGGGTCCCTTCTTCCCAGGAGCACTGCCTCGCTCCCAGCTTGACTTCTCCTAATGCACATGGCCAAGGGGAAGTAGAGGCCAGGAAGGGACAGACAGGTAGGGGCTGCCATGGCCATCCCCGGGGACCCAGGTGCTGTCAGTTCCGCCCCAGCCTCTTCTGCTGAGCAAGGCATCTTCCCGAGTCTTGTCTCTGGATCAGATTCCTATCCTTTCAAGCCTTGGTCTTTTGAAAGCCTGGGATCTTTCCCTGTTCCTTTCCTTTAACTGGACGTTCTCAACGGGAAAACCCTGGTTTCCTCGCGGGCTAGAGGCAAAGCAAGGAAGTGTTCTTGCAGTGAACGTCTTTGATCTCAGTGGATGGAGCTCCCGATCACAAAGCGCCACCTGGGCTCTGAACCTGCTCCAGGCGAAACCTCCAACTTTACGCACAATTATCCAGGATGGGGTGGAGAACAGAAGTCAGCTTGGGCGTGATCCTCCGGCTGAGAACTACTTGAGCACAGTTAGATAATGTAGGCACTTAAAGCACGAGGTCCAAGCAATTGACAGGGGTCACTCCGGGGCCACCTCTGGAGGGTGCTCCTGTAGGAGCATCTCGAGTACCCTCGCCCCCTTCAGCCTGGACCTTGGAGTGGCCACTGGGAAACTCCTCCGCACTGCCAGGAACCAGCCTGTCAGCTCTGCCGGCCTCCACAGGCCGGTCTGTCTTATGCCACTGGCAGCACGGGGTCCTGTTGTGACCTAAGTGTCCCTGGGGTCATACGGAGCGCTCCTCTCCCAGGTAGGACACTGCTAAACTTAATTGTGATTTTTAAAGCATGACTGTGATTTACCCACATGACCCTTCATAAAAAAATACTTCTTTGGGGGTTTTCTTAATTGTTCTTTTTCTCTTCTAAAAAAAATAAGCAATCACCGTTTTCCACGCGTGCCGGGATGTGACATATCTCGTTCACAAAAGCGGTGGGAGACTTTGTAGCGCGCAACTGAACTTTCTTCCTTATGTTAACGTTACATCAAGACAGGGCGGGGGTGGAGGAGGAGGGAGGGAAAGATTTGCCTGAGCAAAGAGAGTCTTTGGGATCAAGCAGTGTCCCTGGGTCCGGGTGGGACCGGGAGGTGTCATTCGGGCAGTGCAGTGTGGGTGTTGGGTCTGTTGCCTTTGTGTTTTTTTTTGTATCCACTTTCCAGTCATCTGATTGGTATCGCCAACAGCTTTACAACATACAAAAGTATTTTGGGTCAACCAGAATGGGTGGAAGAAGTCTTTCCCCATCCCTACTCCCTGCGGGAACTCAAAAAAAAATCATAAAGTAAAATAAAACAAACAAACAAACAGAAAAAAACACAAAACAAACAAAAGATTCCCCTCCCGTCCCGTCCCCTAAGCCAGTAAATCCATGACAACAGCACCTTGACATAGTTTTAATTCCAACGCTATCAGAAGTGAAAAGCAGTTTAACAGACGAGAGTACTAATAAGAGAACGAAGATACTTACTGTCTAAAATGTAAACGGAATGTTTTGGTTCAAATTTTTGTGTTTGTCTTTTTTTTTTTTGTCTGTTTTCTGAAAGAGGACAGTTTATTATCAATTCACAATTAAAGCAGCATGCAATTTATTAGTAATTTTTTAAAACTTTTTATGTTTTCGATTCTTGGCAACGGCAACAAACCACAACATGATCGAGGAATGTAATGCAGACTTTTTGTTTAAGGTTGTGCGCAAATGACTGTTTTTCTTTCTGGTCATGGATATGTCCAATAAATAGGTTGTAGAACCACTGTACTGTATAAACTCCATTTATACATGCAGTTCATAAAATTATTTTTTTCTTAACTGAATAATTTACCCTGTTATGTATATATACAAATAGATAATTTTTGTCTCCATAGAATCTATACAACATAAAGCCACTATCTGCCCCTCTTAATGGTCAGTGTACATACACAGGAAGTGTCTATCCTTATGAACCGCCAGCCGATTCTCTTTTTGCTATCCATGGTCAGGGCCCGCACATACGACTGGGTAGTTCGGCACTGGGAGTTCCAGTGCCTCTTGTCTATGCCTCTGCAGCCCTCCTTGGTGTAGCCCATGGGATTGCACTTGGTCTCGTAGAAGTATTGCTTCAGCTGGCCTTTGGACACGGGGACCTTCTCCAGGACTGTGACTGTCCCGCCGGACATGTCCACGGCCGTCTTTTTATCCGCGGCGGTGACCCACTCGCTGACGCTGTCACACACGCTCAGCTCCCCGCGGCGTGCGGGGTCGGAGTGGCGCCGGACCCGCATGGACATGTTGGCGGCGTCCAGGTAATTTTTGTACTCCTCAAGCAGGAAGAGCAGGGGGGGCTCCAAAGGCACTTGGCTGCTCAGCATCACCCGGGACGTGTACAAGTCCGCGTCCTTTGCGCTCTCCTCGTGGGGCCTGGCTTTCTGGTCCTCCACCAGCAGCTCCTCAATCACGTGCTCGAAGGTGTCAGCCAGTGATGACGACGAAGAGGACGAGGATGAGGTCAGGCCCCGAGCGCCCACCTTGGGCCCAGTCGCGCTCTCCAGAGCCCCGTGGGTCCGCACTCCGGGGTAGGCCAAGCTGCCTGGGCCTCGGACGCTGGCTTCTTTCATGGGGGCAGCCTTCATGCAACCGAAGTACGAAATAACCATAGTAAGGAAAAGGATGGTCATCACTCTTCTCACCTGGTGGAACTGCAGGGCGACAGAAAGACAGAGGAGAGTGGTCAGGGCTTTCGTTCCAGGGACACCTCACCACCCTGAGTCCCCAGCTCCAGGCCCATCTGGGGGCCCAGGGTTTTTCCTCCGGCTCCACCCACACCACCTCCAAATCAGTGTCCTGGGGCACGCTATGTGGCATGATGGGAACCAGGTCATGCGGTGCTTTCCCTGAGATTTAGCATATAAATTTGAGATGAAAGGGCTTCTCTGCAAGTGAGAAAAAACTGGCATCCTCTCTTCTCTCCCTCCCACTCTAGCAGCTTTGTAAGTTTAATTTTTAATGATCTCTGCCCCAGCTGTCATAAGGAACACAGAATCAGAAATGTTACTAAGCAACAATTCCAAGTGTAATAGTAAATTTTTTTTTTCCTGATGAGCAACATGGTGCTTTGCAGAAATGTATGGCAGAAACAGCACAGGCCTTGGGGCTCTGGTGGGTCTGTGTGGCTGGTGAGGTGCAGGCACAAACAGCGCCCTCCGATGGCAGCCTGAGAGCAGCAAGGGGCCTTAGCACTGCCTCATTCTCCCAGGAGACAAGTGACTCCAGCAGGGCAGAGGGATCATTTCAGGAGGCCATCGTGTCTCACTGACAAGGAAACCAAAATCCTTGTGTCACGGAGGGCTTACGATACGAAAACTCTGGACTCTCAAAAGCGCTGTTCTTTCTCCTAGAACTGGGTGGTCAGAAATCGAAACACTTATTCCCAAACAGCAATCATTCCCTGTACGTTCCTTTTAATGATGTATCTATGCCTGGGGCATGAAAGCGATGTGCGTGCTTTGGAGAGCTGGAAAAGCCAGCACTGAAAAGGCAAGGAAGCCAGCTTCCACCAACTCTCAGAAGCTCCCCACCTCGGCTTTTCAGGTTACTACTCTGATCTGGTAGGAAAGCCCTACTTCCCTCTCGCTAGAACTGTGATTGTGTGTGTGTGTGTGTGTGTGTGTGTGTGTGTGTGTGTGAACTCTGTGTCCATCATATCTTTAAAAGGCTGAGTGGTATTTTATACACTTTGGAACAGGGAGGGAGGAAGTGCTTCTTCCTGTGCTTTTGAAGTTTCCTGGGAAGCCCCGTAACAGTCCACCACAAAATTAGTCTCTCCGTTTGCCTGAGGGTGGGTCATGCTAACCTTGGCCCTGCATCTACGTGCATGCTTGAAGAGCCAATCAGCATGATGAACAAGCAAAATAAAATGTACCTGCGGCCCAGCCCAAGGTTACTGCCAGGTGGTCAAGGCCTTGAGACGCACTTACCTGGGTGAAGCTTGTGCCTCTCGAGTTCAGTGGCACCCCCAGCCCTGATACCAATTTCCTACTTCTTAACACTGGAGCTTGGACTTGCAAACACACACACACACACACACACACACACACACACACACACACACACGTACACACACACACACAGAGGTATGCACATAGAATAGCCAATATGCTGTACAAGAAACCCACAAGAAAAGAGACTGTGTTCTGGCCCATGATGTGTTCCCAACCAGCAAGGCCACCTACCTTCAGTCTAGAGATCAGAGTGCAGAAATGGCTGAAAATTTGGGATTCAAAACCCAAAGTTTCTGATCTCCACTTTGGAAAGACGTAATGCTTTCTACCACCAAGAGACTTTATATCACTGAAAACAGGAACGCATTTCCTTCTAAGGTCATTCTCACCTTGCGGGAAGAGCCAGCCTTCTCAGAACTGCCTGGATTGTGTGGGGGTCTGCGATCAGGGAGGGCAAACTGGTTGGGATAAAATGCATGTATTCACTCTGCTAATATCTGAAGTTTTGTGAAGGTTTGGAATTTTGTATCATCAAAGAAAACGGATCCTCCAAGGAGGCTTCTATTCCGGGCAGGCGGTACTTACACCGTAGAATGAAAAGCTCTCTCCTAACATTCCCAGTCCCAATTAAAATAACCCAAGGGGCTATTGCAATTGAGGTCGAGGAAAGAATGCAAATTTGGACGACTTTACTCTTGCGATCTAGATCACATGGGCGGAGACCTGCTGCTATCAGCGTCTTTTAATGCCGTATTGCGTCAAATCCAAGATGCCATCATTTTAAAACACACCCACTCAGGAAGCACCAGAAAGGAGAAAAGGCAGCCAAACCCCTGCTTTGTTACAAACCCTCTCCTCCCACCACCCCCACCTTGGCCCAGCCCCCACCAGCTCCTCCTGCAATGGGCACTGTTCATCTTCCGTTCAACCCTGACAACCACTTCAGACTGACCACGTCCACCCCCTGCTTGTGCCACTCCCTAGCAATGGCTCTTTTGTTCTGGTGGAGGCACTCCAGCCTCCTCTCGTTGGTGACCCATGCCTCCAAAAGCTGCCTCACCCTACTTAGGTGATTTTCTTGTATAATCAGTGCTTGGTCACTTCTGTTCTGATTAGAACAGAGGCCAGATCAGTACTGCCGGAACTGACTTGGTCTGCAGTGTGGGTAAACTAGAACTTCAGTCAAGTAATCAATCAATCAAGACCTCTCCCCCCATATCTTTAAATCTCACTTACCCGTCATGGCTACATTCGAGAGCCAAATCACAATCACCACCTTCTCTAATCCTCCAGTGGGTTCCATCTGTGGTCTCCTCTCGCTTCCCCATTACCACCTTACTGAGCACTCGCCCCCTCCTCACATGTCAGCGGTAGATACCGTGAATCACAGCCACAACTCACTCAGGAGGTTAGCTCTCCCAGGGGATGGATCTTGTCTGATCTCCCACAATGCTACTACACATGGGGAACATTAACCATCAGTGGTGGTACACAGTCACAGCTTACCAACAGACACATCTTGATCACTTTCTCATCACGGGGACACAATACTTAACACCCTCCCCTTTCCAGAGGAGAGTTTATTTGGGCTCATGGCTTTGAAAATCCATGGTTAACCAGCTCCAAGGAAGGAAGAATGTGGTGGAGACCTGGGGGCAGGAGAGCTGCTCACAGCCTGGTGGCCAGGAAGCAGAGAGAAGGGAAGAGCGGGAAGGAGAGCAACCTTTCCAGGCCATGCCCCAGTGATACCCCTGTCTTCCAACCTGACTGGATCCCACCTCCTAAGAGCAAGCCAGCTCTGTCTACAATCCTCATGATCCCAGTGCTGTCCAGAGCCCTGCCTATGCGCGCACGAGGCCTCTGGGGGGATACTCTCCATCTAAACCATAAAAGGTGCATTAAACTGAGAGAGAGGACAGTTTGAACACAGTTCTCCTAAGGAGCTGTTTCATTTGGAAGGCATCAGAGATCACCCTGAGATTCTTAGCTAAATGGCAGGCCATGCTAAACATCAAATTATAACTGCCGAGGAATTTGACAGATGATAATGATTACCCACAAACAATTTATTGAGTTCTAATGGGGCAAAGCTTTGTTAGAGTGATTAAAAAACAAGTAACACACAACATACTAAGTGCTTGCCTACTACAGTGTGGCTCAGTTCCCAGCGGATCAATGGAAGACAAGAAAGTAGGATTGGTAGTGATAATGAGGAAGAAAAACTGTGCATTTACAGTCTTTTAATTCCATTTTTTCTTATTCTTCCAGCTGTTCAATACTGCATTAGAAAATGGTAAGAGCCTGAGCTTCCACGACAATGCTGACATTCTTCTCCTTCAGCTGCCTCTACAGAGCCTTAGTTTGCTTGCCTGTTTCTACTGAGCATATTGACTGATGCTATCTAGTTTGGTTCCATTACTCACAGTAATCCTTCTACCACATCCACAAAATGCCAAGAAGACTTTCCTACCCCATTCTCAGAAAATAAAAGCATACTTCATAGCAATGAGAAAATAAGCCAGGTAGAAAATAAGTGTTTAGTGTGACTTGTAACTCAGAGACTCAATGATTTACCCAGAAGAATGTTCTCAACAGCATTATACCCTTGCTACAGCCCAGTAGTAACTCACATCCCTGTAAACCAGGGGCCCCTCTCCCCAGGCTGTGGAGCAGCGTGTGACTGTATGGTCCATGGCCTGTAAAGAACTAGGCTGCATAGGAGCCCCAAGGGAATTGTGGGTGAATGGCCCAAGCCTTAGCTGGATTTGCAGCCACACCCACTGCTCACATCGCTGCCCCAGCTCCATTTCCTATATGGGCATGAGATTCTCATAGAAGCACAAACCCTACTGGGAATCTCAGGTACACCCTCCTTATGAGAATCCAATCGTACAACCATTCATAGATCCCCTGCTCCCCAGCAGGAAGAAAGTTTTCCACAAAACCAGTGCCTAGTGCCAAAAAGATGGAAAATCCCAAAATATCATCTGATTTGATTATTACTAGGAGATAGGAAAGGTACATTATTCCCATTACACAGATGTGGCAATTCCAATTCAGAGAAGTTACATGATCTGTCAAATGTCACAAAGCTAACAGATCACCCATCTCTGAGCCAAGCTCTTACACAGCAACATTCTGCCAGCTGCAGAATATTAATACTAGTGGAGAAAAAGGCTGAGACAGAGAAGGGGCTTGGGGAACACAGGCACAGCTCTCTGTAGCTGTATGTATCTTGGGGGGTCAGCTTTCTACAGGCAGCACCATGACTGCACTGGCTTTCAGGGATGGACGAATCATGGCTTTGGAGATCCAGCAGCTTTTTAAGCTTCGACCACCCCAGTGGGTAGAATTTTAGACAATGCAGTCTTCTTCCAAAGGAAAGCCTTGCAAACACTGAAGTGTGTTAGAACCAAGTTTTCAGGGCTGAAACTAAGATGAGAACCAAACATTACAGATTGTGCAGGAATATACACATTAAAAAAAAGCAAAGATTTGTTCCCAGTCGGTGAGCGCATAATCAAGGAAAGCACAGTTTATTGATATACAGTGGCTCGTTCTAGACAGCTGAAGAGAATGCTGAAGAGATGACTGATGAATATTTAACCCCTAACGTACAGGACGCCAATCTATTAAGATGCTGCCTCAATGGTAACATGCAAGTCAGTGCTGAAAGTATTTCATCTGTGTCCGCGCTC